AAAGTTTCAATATCTTTGGTAAAGTATTGATTTTGTTCATTGATTTGTTTTCTGAGGGCACTGAATTGCCCTCCTATATTTTCTCTCATCTCATGGAGTATTTTCAGAACTGCAATCTTGAATTCTATGTCATTTATATCACATATTTCCATGTGGGCCAACTTGCTTTCTAGGGATTTTTCCATTTTCTCTGTGATCATCCTTGTTGCCGTGGTTATTCATAGTACTTGCTACCCTCCTTTGTCTAGGCATAAATATCCCTTCTATACCAGCATTCCCTGAAGAGGTCTTTCTACTATTTTCCAGCAGATGTCACTGAATCGCAAGATTTTTTTACCTTTGTGATCTCCCAGACTTGACCTCTGCAGCTTCTTTAAGACAGTACAGCCATGCCTCTTAGGGGTGGGGTTTGTTTTGCCCTCACCATAATGGTGACCCTGGACCTCCACAGAATCCAGCCCCAAGCACCAAACTGGGAATCAGTTACAGAAGGAAACAACAGTTCCACTGCAACAGCCCTTGGTTTTCAGATAAAATGTTCATTGGCCCGACCCCGAGGCAATGGGAGGTGTTGGCAGTCCATGGGGCCGCAGGGCTCTGTAGTTCTGTTTCTTTGTCAGAAACACCCCTGTGTGACAGTGGAAAGCCACGTCACCAAACCGTGCCCTCTGTCAGGCATCTGCTGGCTCAGTCACTGCTCACTCTGTTTGCCCTGCTGGACTGCCCCTGCAGCTTTCTGTTCCTCCCACCAAAAGAAGCATCTGCTACTGCCAGCTTCCTCCCCTCTCTTGACCCTGCCACAAAGTCCCAGCTGCAGGGCTGCATCTGTGGCCACTGTCTGAGCTTTCCTTCCATCTTGTCTCCTCGCTTATTCCTGGTTGCCCACCTTTAGATGTTTCAGTGCACGGGTCTCTCAGGTGTTCCTCTATATTGAGTAGGGAATTCTTTGTTGAATTATAGTTAAAATTTACATGGGGTTCATTACACCATTCTCTCTACTTTTGTAAGAAAAATAAAGTTTTCCATACCATTGTAACACACCTTTAGTAGAGCGGTACTTCTTAAGCTTTAATGTCTCAAATAAGTCAGCTGGGATCGCCTTAAATGCATTATCTAATTTAGTAGGTTGGGGAGGCCTGAGAGTCTGAAGTTCAAAGAAATTCCCAGGTGTTGCTGATACCTGTGGTCTATGGACCACATTTGAGTAGCAAGGAGATAGAAAATCATGGCACCAGATAATTACTAACTTAGGTAGGTCATAAGATGGAGTTTCTCGGTCATCATTTGGTAAGCAAAAATCACATAATTTTTTATTAATATGTAAAAATTGATAAGAAAAAATATTCATTATCATGCTTAAAGTAATCACTTAGCCCATTGAGCTCATCTATAAAAAATGTGTCTAGATTATGATGTAAGTCAAGACTTAAGACAATTCAAATAATATCTAATAGACAACAGATCTAGTGTTTACATATTAAGAAAATCTTTGCACCAGAACTGTTCTGTCATGTTTCTGCTCAGAGGCTGTCATGATAAAGCTTATTATCAATTACTGCTTTACAAGTATTTTCTCAACCAGAGATCCGAAGCTGTCAAAGAATGTCAATTTAAAGTCTGACATAGAGAAGAAAATTATGTTATTCTGACCTCTAATTTCTTGACATTTTAATGCCATAATTGCTGTGGTTAGTGCTGCTTCATGATTTCACCTGTCAAGGAAGAACGAATCAATAACCTTAAATCATTTCTTAAATTTTAGCTCTAACATCAAAGCTCAAAATGTGAGATTTTTTTTTTTTTTTTACAAAAGGGACATTCATACATCAGATATATCTCTTTTAAATCAGTGTTTAATATAAGGATTTAAAAGAAACGTCTTCCTTAGGCTAGTTGGAGTTTAGTGTAAGATAACTGTAATGAACCTTCCTTTGATTTTATTTATGTGAAATGTAGTGATCTCAGCATTTAAAAATACTAAGATAAATATCACAAAATAAAGAGAATATATTTAGTTCAGTACAAGGGTTAACATTCTGAACACTGCTTTTATCCCAAGAGCTTATGTCCGACCATTTAGGTAGGTATCAACTCTTTCAGGTCACAGCACCACAGGGAAGACCTCCAGGAAGTCTATGTTGATGGTTTGATAAAGGTGCTGTGCATCCCAGAGGGCCTCCTCACAGGGGTACTGTGTATGTAAGGGGGCACAGATGACTACCGAACAATGAATATGCTATACTTCATTCCACTTCTCTACATGGCTCTTTCTTCTGACAGTATATGCTAAGTGCTTTTATATTGGGAAACGTATGTTCTATATTATCCCTCCTTTATAGAGAGAGCAACTGAGGTGGAGTGAGATTAATCACTTGGCCACATTAGATAGCTCACAGGATTCGGCTGGGTTCTCCTCTGCTGCAGGTTCTTAAATGTTAGTGAACTTTTGTTGTGGGAATATGTTAGGTTGGTGGTAGAGGAGATAAGGGTAGGGAGTGGGGAGAGAGAAAATTAGCTCATATCCCATGAGATCATTTAATTTGTTGATACATTTAATCTGCTGAGTTGACAAAGGTCCATAGGGTCAGGGTAAACATCTCGGCTGGTCTATGTTGGCTGGGGGAAGGAAGATAACAAGTGTTCTAGGTACATGCTTCCTCACCCAGTATTCTGAAAAATAAGAGTTATTGGGTCTGGGAGGCAAGCATGGAGCCTAGGGAGGGAGGACACATATCACCAAAATAATTCTCAGAGTTTCTCTAATGGAACCTCAGTATTCAGCAGTGATGTGCTAGAGGAGAGTCCTGAACTAAAGTACCCTAGCACTCAACTGTCTGCATCACTAGGGGTCATCAGGAGCAGTACGTAACATATTGATCTGATCATCTATACAATAAGCAAAAATTTGGGTTGAACCACTCCCACTCAAATGAAAAATTTTACATTACAAATTTTCATGTAATGATTTATTAGAAAGTTTTACAGTTTGACAATTAAGACCTATGCATTGTTTCTTTCACTATCCAGAGCAATGGTGCAGTATTTTGTAGAAGCAGATTTTTTTTTATAGGATTCAAATCATAAACACTATACCCATGTAAAGAAAGTCACAGTTCTGATTCCATTTTCTTTTAATGCTCTCATTAACCTCTTTTCCCTCCTCTCATTTAAATATAAAAAATCTGCTATTTTTCTGTCAATTTTAAAGACACCTTGCACTTTCATTACATACAATATGCTTAAAATATTTGTATTTGTCCAAGAGGATTAACTTGCAACTTCTTTATAAGAACAGAACCTTATAATGGATAAAAATATATAATAAAATATTCGGGAGCAAAATTGACTACAATATTTAAAAGTCAAAAAATAATTTGGAGTTGGTTTTGGAATCAAATAAGAAGCTATTCTAATAATTTTCCTTTGTTATGATTCTAAGGTATTAGATCTAAAAGGAGAATATAATTTGTAAGGAGTTTATAGAACTGGGCATGTGTTAAGCAAAGGTGTATTGTTAAGAGAATAATTAAGCTCAGAATTATCTCCTACAAAATAATCTTATTACAGTTTGAACACAACTGGGGAGACACTAAATTAGGTGACTGTAATGTTTTGTAGAGAAAATCCCCTATTTCCACAACTAATTTCATTATATCTGGCTTCTCTCATTCATTTATTATCTGTCTCTATCTCTTACTCCCAGCGTCAGGCAATAATTCTACTTCCTTGTGCACACAATATGATATAATATTCTACTTAATGCCATGCTTGAAATGTGTTCTTTGAATATTAGTCAAAAGGGTCCAATGATCAGTGATCATGAGGCACCTTCCCTTCTATTTCCTCTTCTTGGCTTGAAGCCATACAAATAAAGTCATTTTTTTTTTTAAAAATAAAAGTATGCAGGAAATAACTTTATGGATGCGCATCATTCTTGTAGAATTTTATTTTTCCAAATCTACAAATTTCCCATCTCTAAAATAAAAAGTAAAAGAATTAAAAAAGCATTCCACTGAATGGAAATGTACAAATGATTACTTGTTTTGCATAGAGCAGATGGCAGATATCTGGTAGAAGGAACACTGAAATAGAGCATCCTTGCAGAGACACTTATGTAGCAGCTGTTGCATGTTCACTCTTTTCACCTATCTGAAATCATTTTGTGCAATGTGGAAGTGATTTAAATAATATTTTATCTGAATATTTTCACTAAAAATACTTAGGCAAATACTATAACACAGGAATTTTTAATTGGTGTGCTGTAAGAATTTTTAAAACATGCAATACCTGACTATTTAGTTAGAGGCACTAACCTCTTTCCCTTAGATTGTTAAATAAAAAAGTGACAACAGCCAACACAATACTGTCTGTATGAAGTCAAAATTATACCTATTTTTTGTCAGATCTGCAAAAAATATATATTTTTGTGTATGCTGCACAATTTTAGTAATTAGTTTATGTGTGCCATGAAATTAAAAAGGTTGAAAATTGCTACTGTAATATATAATTCCCAACTGTTAGCTATAAAATTTCAGGGTGAGAACATATGGGAATAAAATACTACAGCCTCATTGATACATTTTTTGAGTATTCTGCCTAGGTTATAATTTTGCTTTTATTAAAAAACACACACAGGAAGATTATTTTTATGTGAACTATTATATTTAAATATTCAACTAGGTTTCACTAATAACACACATAAGGTATTAAGCATTTTAATGAAGATGCTGAAGTAAATGAAATTAGGGTATTGGAGTGCATTATGAAATTAGGATATTGGAGTGCATTATATATGTCTGCAATTCAAACAGGAACAACACGCTGGTCTCATTATTGGTTTTGATAGATAACATTCATTTTTCCACATTTGTTAAGGATTGAAAATTATATTTTGTAAAAATTTACGTTGAAAGAAAATTTATACAGAAAGAGCTGGAAACTCACATTTGTTTTTGAGGGATGGCATATTTTTTTGGAAAAATATGGAACTGAACACCTACCTCCCTGAGCACAGGGTCAGTGATACTATCCAGGTTCACAGAGCCTTCGTAGGTTAAGTAGTGAAAAACATTCAGAGCACGAACTGCTTCTGGTCCTCGCTGTTTGTAGCCAAATATAAGGTCAATCCACTGATGGAGTTGGCAAGAAACAAATTCACTTTCCAAGGCCTGAAATGAGTCAAGAAAAGAAAATGAGAGTTTGTATAAACTTAGTAAAGCACTCTATCCTTTTCTTACTTTGAAATATTCTATATAAATAAGCAGGGTATGTTCTTTACATTCCTATATTTTATCTATATTAGATCTTCTGCTCCTAGAAATGGCAAAATACAACCTCTAATAAAAAATAAACCTAAAAATTTTCTTTCTTAAATGCTTAACTCTCTTCACTCCATTACCTATACAACATAAATTCATGCTGCAATGAACATAGGGCTGCATATATCTTTTTGGATTAGTGTCTTTGTTTTCTTCAGATAAATACTCAGAAGTGGAATTCCTGGGTCATATGATAGTTCTATTTTGTTAAGGTGATTTGTTTTAATATGTTTTTATTGATTTCAGAGAGAAAAAGGGAAAGGGAGAGAGAGATATAGAAACATCAATGATGACAGAAAATAATCGATTGGCTGCCTCCTACACACCATGAACTGGGGATTGAGCCCTCCAACCCAGGCATGTGCCCTGACCAGGAATCGAAACGTGACCTCCTGGTTCATGGGTCAACGCTCGACCACTGCCAGGTGATAGTTCTATTTTTAATTTTTTGAGAAATCTACACACTGTTTTCCATAGTGGCTACATTAATTTACAATCCTACCAACAGTGTACAAGGGTTCCCTTTTCTCCACATCCTCACCAGCACTTGATATTTGTTGACTTTTTGATAATAGCCATTCTGACTAGCCTGAGGTGGTATCTCACTGTAGTTTTGATTTGCATTTCTTTGATAATTGATGATGTTGACCATCTTTTCATATATGACTGTTGGCCATCTGTATGTCCTCTTTAGAGAAATGACTATTCAGATCTTCTGCCCATTTTTTAATTAGATTGTTTGTTTTTTTGGTGCTAAGTTGTATGTTTTCCTTATATATTTTAGATATTAACCCCTTATCAGATGTATCATTTGTGAGTATCTTCTCTCATTCAGTAGGTTGTCTTTTCATTTTGTTGGTTTCCTTTGTTGTGCAAAACTTTTTATTTTGATGTAGTCCCATTTGTTTATTTTTTTGCCCTTGCCCAAGGAAACATATCCAAAAAGATATTGCTAAGACTGATGTCAAAGTGTTCACTACCTATAATTTCTTCTAGAAGTTCTATAGTTTAAGGTTTTACATTTAAGTACTTTATTCACTTTGAGCTTATTTTTGTACATGGTATAAGAAAGTGGTCCAATTTCTTTTTTTCCACATATCTGTCCATTTTTCCCTACACCATTTATTGAATAGACTGTCTTTACTCCATTTTATATCCTTGTCTCCTTTGTGGTAGATTGACCATGTAAGTGAGGATTTATTTCTGGGCTCTCTGGCTGTCTATTATATTCCATTGATCTACATACCTGCTTTTATGCCAGTACTATACTGTTTTGATTACTGTAGTTTTGTAGTATAGTTTGAAAACAGGGCATGTGATACCACCTACTTTGTTCTTTCTCAAAATAATTTTTGTTTTTTTTTGGTTATGTGGGGTCTTTTGTGGTTGCATACAAATTTTAGCATTAGTTGTTTTAATTCTTGGAACAATCACGTTAGTATTTTAGTAGGGATTGCATTATTCGGTTTATTGCTTTAGGTAGTAAGGGCATTTTAAAAATATTGATCTTTCGAATTCATGAGCAAGGTATATCCTTCCATTTATTTTTATCCCCTTCTATTGCTTTCTTCAGTGTCATATAGTTTTCAGAATACAGGACTTTCACATCTTTGGTTAAATTTATTACTATTTTATGCTTTTTGGTGCAATTGTAAATGTCATTGTTTTCTTAATTTATCCTCCTGATCCTTCATTATTGGTGTAACAAATGCAACAGATTTCTGTTTATTGATTCCACATCCTGTAATGTAACCTAATTAATTTGTTAGGATAGTTTTTGGTGAAGTCTTTAGGATTTTCAGTTTCATCTGCAAATAAGAGTTTTACTTCTTACTTGGTCATGGCGTATAATCCTTTCAATGTATTATTGAATTTAGTTTGCTAATATTTTGTTGAGAATTTTAACATTTATGTTCATTAGTAATACTAGCCTGTAATTTTCCTTTTTTATTGTCTTTGTCTGGTTTTCATATCAGGGTAATGCTGGCTTCATAGAATGAGTTTGGAAGCATTCCTTCCTTTTCAAATTTTTGAAATAATTTAAGAAGAATAGGTATTAATTATTCTTTAATTGTTTGGTAGAATTCACCTGTGAAGCCATCAGGTCCTGGACTTTTAGTTGCTGGGTCTTTTGTTTACTGCTTTGATTTCATTGTTAGTAATCCATCTGCTTGGATTTTGTAGTTCTTCCTTGTTCAGCCTTGGAAAGTTACATACTTCTAAAAATTTATCCAGTTCTTCTCAAATGTTGAATTTATCGGCATATACTTGTTCATAGTATTCTTTTATGAGTCTTTGCATTTCTATGGTGTTGTTCATAACTCTTTCATTTATGATTTTACTTATTTGGGTTCTCCCTATTTTTTTCTTGATGAGTCTGGCTAAAGATTTGGCAATTTTCTTTATCATTTCAAAGAAATAGCTCTTATTTTTTTTATTTTTTTCCCCAGTTTCTATTTTGCTTATTTCTGCTCTGATCTTAACTATTTCCTCCCTTCTGTTTACTTTGGGTTTTGTTTGTTCTTCTTTTAAAAAAATTCTTGCTTTCAGACATTCAAAAAATATATATTTATTTATTTGTAATCTTCACCCAAGGAGATGTTTTTTATTTATTTGAAAGAGAGAGAGAGAGAGAGAGAGAGAGAGAGAGAGAGAGAGAGAGAGAGAGAAAGAAACATTAATATGAGAAAGAAACATTGATCGGCTGCCTACCGTATGCACTCCAACCTAGGGAACAAACCCACAATCTAGGTATGTGCCCTGACTGGGAATTGCCTGCAACCTTTTGGTGTACTGGATGATACTCCAACCAACTGAGCAACCTGGCCAGGGCTGTTCTTTTTCTAGTTCCTTTAGGTGTAAAGTTAGATTATTTATTAGGGATTTTCTTATTTCTTAAGGTAGGCCTGTATAGCTATGACCTTTCCTCTTACAACTGCTTTTGCTGTATCCCATACATTTTGTAAAGTTGTGTTTTCATTTTCACTTGTTTCAAGATTGTTTTCCATTTCCTGTTTGATTTCCTCTTTGAAGCATGTTGTTTAGTCTCCACACATTTATGTTTTTCCAGTTTTCTTCCTGTAGTTGACTTCTAGAGTCATGCCATTGCTGTCAGAAAAGATGCTTAATATGATTTCAACCTTCTTGAATTTATTGAGGCTTGTTTTGTAGATTTATATGTGCTCTTACCTATAGAATATTCCATATACCCTTGAAAAAAATATGTAATCTGCAGTTTGGGTATGAAATGTTCTATAAATATCTATTAAGTTAATCCGTTATAATGTGACATTTAAGGCCATTATTTCCTTATTTTCTGTGTGGATAATCTATCCATTGATGTGGGACAGTAAAATCCCCTGCTATTATTATATTAGTGTTGATTTCTCCTTTTATATCAATTAATAATTGCTTTATATATTTAGGTGCTCCTATTTTGGGTGCATAGATGTGCATGATTGTTATATTTTCTTCTTGGGTTGACCCCTTTTAAATTATGTAATGTCCTTCTTTGTCTTTTTTTACATTTTTTTGTTTTAAAGTCTTTTCATCTGATGAGTATTTTTACCCAAGCTTTCTTTACATTTATTTTGCATGGAATAGCTTTTTCCATCCCTTCATTTTCAGTCTGCATGTGTCTTTTGATTTGAAGTAAATCTTTTGTAAGCAGCATATAGATGGGTCATGTTTTTAAATTTGCTCCATCACCCTATATCTTTACACTAGCCTCTTTTTCATGATTATATTGAAGTTATAGCTATTATCCGGTGAAAGAGTCAACTATTTTAAAAAAAGACAACATAGTTGTTTTAAATGTTTATTTGGGGAGGGAGCCTAAATTATTCTATTACTTGATTGCTTACTGGGTGTGTAATACAGAGGACTAGCTTCCATTCCTACCAGTACCATCCAAGTCTTAGCTCTCTCACTGCTTTCCATATGTAAAAGACTTCAACTTCTTTCTCTCATCTAGCCCATCTTGCACCCTGCTGTGGAACAGACCTATGAAACCATCATGCTCATACTGTAATCCTCTATTTCAAATCTTCCAAGGTTCCTCCTAGCATAACATACTTAGTGTAAACTTTACCTGACCCCTCAAACATTGATCCTAACCTCCCCTACTATTCTTAGGACTTCTTAATATATAGTATATCTTTGGCTCCAGGAGCACAGAAAATTCACAGCCTCAGGCACACAGCAGTAGGTACAATCATTAAGCCTTTGTTGCTCTTTTCTCTTTAGGATGAAAGCATTTCATCTTCCTGCTTCTTTTTCAAATCATATCCACCCTTCTTACTTAAATCCAGTGTTTGTTTTCTGAGTTATCCAGCTCACAGTCTATGAATTCTTCCATGAATTTCCATGATACATCATCATCAGTACCCTCCTGTTTAATATAGTAAGATAATGTATACAAATTTACTTGTGAAAATTAATTTACATATAAATTTCAAAGTGCTATAAAAAGGATTGTTGTGGGGTGTTTTTTTTTTTTGTTTTTTTTTTTACCAATTAGCACTTCATTGTTTCAATTAGGATATAAGCATCTAATGCTTCTTTTGCATTCCCATAGCTCCAAACCTAGCATTAAGTATAATTTTTTAGTAAATGTTTATTGGTTGATTAAGCAATGAGAAAGATGTATTGGCCACGAGAAAGGAAGAAAAGAAATGTCAGGAAGTGAGAGCAGGGGTGGCAAAAAAGCTCATTTATTCATTCATCAAATGTTAATAATTATATGCTATGTGCCAGACACTATTCCAGATCCTAGGATAACAGCAGTAAATAAAAGACACCAAAATCACTGCCAGAGGGTTTACATTGGGGGGGGGG